GGAGATCGTGGATTCAAATTAGACTGCTATTTGGAACTAACAGAAATAAAAAAAAAAACCACTTCCATAAGAAATCCTACAGGCCCTCCCTAGTGACACAACAGGTTAGGACTCAGCACTGCAAGCTGGCCAAAGCCGCTTCCATGCAAGTTCGATCTCCTGCCCCGTGGAGCGGCAGACCTCTCCTGATCCACCCGCTGCTCCCCTCAACAGTGTACTTCGTCAATCTGCCTGTTCTGCTCCCCACTCTATCTCTGGTGAATCCTCTCACTGCACCCCTGCACCTCTGGCCTGTACCCCAGTTCTGTATGCACAAATAAATAAATCTTAAAAAGAAAAGAAATCCTACACCAGTCAACATGCCTTCATGCTAGAGTGAACCCCGGAGCTGTGGGTGTCACATTTTCCCAAAGTGGTGCCTAGGCCAATCTTTCTGCATTTAACAAGTTAGTGAACAGCTTGTGAGTAATGCTTTGCCCACGTTGGTCCAAGTTAGAAGACTGCCAGTAGGATTAGACATCAATGTGTCACACTCTTGCTTTGCTGCGTCCTCCCTAAATAGTCGCGCTCTCAGCCATTGGAGGGTCTAAGGTTCTTGAGGACGTCGGCTCAAGTGGGATGAGGCTGGAGGGAGGCCCGGCCTTTCCCCAAGCAGAGAAGCCTCCTCCCAGATCCTGAGAGAAGTGAGTGGGGCATGGTATTCCGAGTAGCTCAGGTTTGGCTTTGGGCCAGGCTCTGAGTGGCAAACAAGAAGGAACACATTCCCGGAAGGCAAGGAGCCCTGCCAAGGAGAAGGCGGCCCAGCCAGCAGGGCCCGCTGGGTGCCAGGTGCTCGTTGGCTTTGAGGAGGTCAGGCACGAAGAGGGATGGACTCCGGTTTCTCTGATTTTCATTCCAGAGATTTAAATGCCTCCCTCACTCTCACCCTCAGTAGACAAAGCACATTTAATGTAACCATTAAATTGGAATCTTCTCTGTTCTGGGGCCTGGCCCTGTTCTCTTAATGGAAGAGCATGTAGACTCCTGAAATTTCACTTACAAGAGCCAGGTTTCTGCAGTTCCTTGGCCTGAGTAAGAGAAGATGCTATCGTGAAGGCAGGTCAGGAGGAAAGCCTAGCATTTCTGTACCCTCGGAAGAGAAGCCGAGCTCCCATCCCCTGGCTACACCCTTAACCCCTAATACTCATTCCACTTACCTTCCAGTTCTGCCTTCCTGTGGCCTTGTCCTCAGAAGGTCTAGAGAGCATCTGGGGTAGCTTCTCTTTCAGGATTACCTGGGGCCTTTCTCCAGGATATGAAAGAAGAGGAAAGGGGAGAAGAACAAGGCAGACAGAAATGGCTGCAGGAACCTGCTGAAGACTCCCTTCCACCATTGAACTTGGACCAGGCCTGGGCCCTTCTGCCAAGCCAGGGGTTCTTAGGGTGCCAGGCGTGGACCTTGCTGAGAAAGAATGAAGTCTGTGGTTCACCTCACTCCTGTTCCTCCTGCTGGACTTTGCTGCCACCTGGTGGCCCAATTGGCATCAATTCCGCCCAGACCAATCTAAGGATCTGGCCACTGTCCTGTCCCACCTAAGAAATTTCTCTGCTCAGAAACCCTGTTTCTGTGGCCCAGGGACTAGGACAGCAGAGATAAATTACCTCATGCAGTTCAATAGGTGTTCTAATGTAATGCTACCAGGCAGGAGGGCCAGAGTTGGCTGGCTGGGGCCCAGCTGCAGAGGAAAAGTTTCTGGCTGGTGGGATGATATTCTCCTGGAGTCCCCTCACTCCTGAATTCCCTTTTCACTAGAATTCCTGCTCTCCCCATGACTATTCTTATTCTATGTTCCAAAACTGGAAGTCTTTCATAATATATATTTCTCTCTATTTCTCAAATTGTAAAGCGGCTGTGTCTCCCTTGCAAAACTAGCTCATTTTAATTTACGAATCGATTACTACGTGCCCTCTCTGTGATGCTACTACTGTTATAGACCAGTAGCTGGGAAACTGAGAAGGAGGCTACATTCTCATAGGTAGATTTACAGCCATACTTTCCCACATATTACAGCCACATGTTTTTTTCCTCTAGCAAAAGAAAACACTTGGTTTCAGCAACCACTTGTCCTGCCAGTCCCAATTTTCCAGATCCAGCTGGGTACCCAAGGGTTATATAAAATCCAAACTCTCTTCTACCTGCCTCTCTAACCGACTTAGGATTTAAAAATTTGTGTTAAATACACATAAAATCATCATCTTCACTTTGTTGTGCAATGACTACATCACAGGATTCTTTTCATCGTGTAAAATGGAAACACTGAGGCCCTCCCTGGTGGCGCAGCGGGTTAAAGCACAGCGCTGAGAATCTGAAGCCACTTCCGCATGAGTTCGATTCCCGCCTGCCGCCTGCCCAGGAGGAGACCACATGGCGAGCCAGACCTCTCCTGACCCGCCCGCTGCTCCCCTCAGCAGTGTACTTTGTCGATCTGCCTGTTCTGCTCCCCACTCTGTCTCTGGTGAAGCCTCTCACCGCCCCTGAGCCTCTGGCCTGTACCCCAGTTCTGTATGCACAAATAAATAAATAAATCTTTAAAAAAAAAAATGGAAACACTGAGCCCATTAACACTAACTCCCCACTTACTTTCACTCACCACTGGCAACAAGCATTCCCTTTCTAGGGATTCAATTATCCCGTGTAACTCAAATAAATGGGCCATACAGTACTTGTCTGTGACTAACTTATTTCACTTCACATTGTCCTCAAGTTTCATTCATTGTACATGTCAGAATTTCATTCCTTATAAGGTTGAATGATATCCATATGTGTGTGTTACATTAATTTATTCATTCACCACACTTGACATGAGTTGCTTCCATTTTCAGTTATTGTGAATAATGCAGCTTTGAACAAAGGTAAACAAATAGCTTTTCATCTTCCTGTTCTCAGTTCATTTGAGTGAATACTCACATTATTTGGTTATTCTGTCTCTTTTTTACTTTTTATTTATGGATACACAAATGGAGTATAGGCCAGAGGTGCAGGGGCAGTGACAGGACTCACCAGAGACAGCGTAGGGAGCAGAACAGGCAGATTGACAAAGTACACTGCTGAGGGGAGCAGCAGGCAGGACAGGCAAGGTCTGCTGAGCCTTGTGGATCACCTCCCTGGCCAGGGATAGAACGCATGCTGTAGTGCTTGATGCTAACTTCACAGTGCTGTGCTTTAACCCGTTGTGCCACCAGGGGGGGCCAGTAATCTATTTATCGGTTAAGAACTGCCATACTGCTTTCCATAGTGGCCGCACCATTTTACAATTCCACCAACCAAGCTCCAATTTCTCCACATCCTTGACAATATTTGGTTTTTGTTTCTTTGGTAGGAGCCATCCTATAGAGTGTGAAGGGATGCCTGGTAGTGTGTGTGTGTTCTTACATCATTGTTCATTAATGGACAGCACTTGATTTCTTCCCTCAGGTGTCTGTCCATCGTTTCCCCACCACCATAGCAGCCTTTATCAGCCTTCATCCTCCCTGTTCTCTCCCGGCCCCTGCTGTGGTCCCTCTCCCTCCCCTGCTGATGCCTCAGTTCTAGGGTCCGTTTGCAAGGCGCCTTTTTCCTGACCCTTTATTTGGCTTCTCTATATTCTACCTGTAAGTGCATCCGTTGTGGTTTTGATTTGCATGATGAAAGATGTTCGACATCTTGTCCTGTGCTTGCTGTCCATTTGTGTGTGTTCTTTGGGGAATGTCTATTTGGGCCCTTTCCCCTTTTAATTACCTGAGGTGGTAGGCTATTGTTGAGTTAATTGCTCCACCATCCTGTCCTTTTGTTACTCCCTGACTTGAGTCAGGAAGCCTCTGCTCCTCCTCCGGCATGTGTTTGTTCTTTTCTACCTTTTGGGTGGCTGGCTCACTGCCAGGAATACTCTTTCCTGATCAACTTGCATGGCCAACTCCTCTTCCTTTAAGTATCAGTATAAATATCACTTCCGTGCGCCTTTTATGACCACCACCCACCCAAAGCTCTCTTTCCGTTTACTCTATCTCATATCATTACTTCTTTCCTTCTTGGGACTTAATCACTCTCTGGTGTAGACAGTCTGGGGAAGGTGGGGTGGGGCTTGGGGCTGAACCTTGAATCTGGGACTGTTACTGTCTGCATGACTGAAGCCTCCTAACTTTGAACCTCCTGAAGTCTAGGAACTTCCTGCATTCTGGGAATCAACTCTGTAATGTTGGCATACAGATAAGTGCTGCTGGTTAATTGTCTTGGAGAAAAGAAAAGCAAAGCAGCTTCCCTACCCTATAAAAACTTACCTGTACTCCCCCCAGCAGGCTCAACTTCCCTGACCTCTCCTCTGTCGTTGGGGTCTGTGAACCTCGCCCAGGAGTGCAATAAAGTTCCTACTTGTTAGAAACTTGGCCTGACCTTGCATCCTTTAACTGTGCTGGGCCTACTGATACTTTTAGTCACATCTGCAGTTATCTTGTTTACAGATTTAGTGGAAACGTAAGTTTACATGAAAGGAAAGTGCCATGGGGACGCATATTACCTGACATGTTCACTGCCCTATCCCTGGTGCCCAGCATAGTACCTGGCACACAGCACAGCATTTATGGAATGAATGAATCACTACTCGAGGAGGCACCCTAAGGAGAAAAAATAGTGCAGTGACCTAGGTTGGAAGTGGACCTCTCTAATCTAAACTTGATGTCATAGAAAAGGTTGCAGGAGTTTTCTGGCTTTAATTCCTGAGTCTGAAGCACAATATTATTGGAACCAAGGACCTGGCTGTGGAATTGTCCAGAAGAAAGAGAGAAGCATCCTTAGTGTCCACACAGCAGCGGTAGAGGCTACAGTGGTTTCCTAGAGCTCTCCTTCCTTGCCCCACATGCATGAAGTATGAGTCCTTTGACAGAGGGAGCTGGGAATCACCTGGGTGCCATCAGCCTCCTGTCAGACTACCTGGAGTGAGTAGTCAAAAATGAAGTCTCCATATCACAAGTCACTAGAAAAATCAGATTTTTATTTGAAAACATCTTCAAAGGCTAATGCCATAGTGGAACAACCCAAATCTAGTTGAACCAAACCCTCAGGGAATTAGAGGAGCATTGGCCAGTGCAAGCAAGTCTGTAAAAACATACATAGTTTATAAATGAGCACAACAGAGGATACATTGCCCCCAAAGGCCTAGGCTGGGGGAACAAAAGAGAAATGGAGAGCGGGGGCTCTGAAAGAATCAGGCACACTCATACCACTCTGAACTCCAGGAGGACCTCCAGAGCCTCTCCCTTGCAGCAAACCCCCAAGGTTCTAAGGCTGGGGCAAGGCTGGAGACCAGGCTCCCCAGCATTTGGCACAGTCACCCACAACTTGGCACCTCTCACGGTCTCTGACCAAGGAAGGTTCCATCCAAGTGGACCTGGTCTCCCCAGCCTCCAGCAAAAACCAGGGGTGGGAGGTGCTGGGGCAAGGAAAATTAGTTCCCTGAAAATATGATGAAAAGGTGTGATGAAGGGGGCTGGTTCCAGAAAGAAAAAAGAAGGGGCATTCATCCAAAGTGGCACTGTAGAGAATGGAACAGTAAGTTTCACCTGAGACAGACAGACTTGGTGCAGGAAAGTCACCAGGCCAGATTCTAAACTTACCCCTGGAGCCTGGGAGAAGATGTGGAGAACTCCAGTCTGAGCTTAGGGAATTGGTAGCCTCATTGGGTTTGTCATAAATAGAGCAGATAATCATGGTTCTGGAATAAATCACTTCAACCTGAATTTCTCCCCAGTTAACTTCTCTGAAGAGGGAAATACAGTGGCTATTTCTGATACCAGCTGGCTTCCTGCCCCCAACAGTGACATTCTCTGGTATCTCTGCATTCCCCGCTAAGGCCCTTCCAGAACCATCAGAGGTCCTATTTTAGTAGATGGGAGTTCTGGGGAGAGCAGGGCACAGTTCAGGGGCACAGATGCTTCTTAGAAGAGAAAATGCCTTAACAGAGAAGGCAAAGCCGCTACCTGTCTACCCTTCCCACCCCCACCTCTCTTGTCCCCAAAGACGCCCTTGACCTAGTCCTTGCTCAGATCAGGCTCATCTTGAACATCTCCACCTTATTCATGAAAAACAGAGTCGTGGACTGGACCCCCCCCCCCCCCGACTACTGGTGACCTGAGTGAGCTCTGCCCTGTGCTGGCTCAACACCATCACACCACCTGCCAGCCATGCCTCCCTGCCATTCCTGTGACTGAGAGCTGGGCAGTCAGGCAGGGAATACAAAGCCAGACCTCAAATCAAAGCCATTACCGCTCTCTTCCTCCCCACACCCACTTCCAGGACTAGGGCCGTTGGAAACGTTTGGGCACAGCAGGGGGAGGCCCGGTACCAGGTCTGTGGCCACAGTGATCAAAAGCCCTGCTCCACCTGTCTCACCAGGAAGTGGCAGCTGAGGACACAGAATTCCGGACCTCTGTTCTGCTTCATTGAAGTCTCCGCTGCGGCGCAGTCCCCTGCTGCGGGGAACGTCCTCTCAGTCTGAGCCAGTCTCCCATGAGGGGCCAGAACAGCCTGGATGGAGAGCCCACTGCTATCCGGGCACAAGCTCTCCTCTCTGCCTTTGCCCTACAGCTCCCTCCAGCCTGCCCTGGGCCTGTGAGATGCCCTGCTCCCTGCAGAGAAGCCCATGGCCCCCAGCAGAGCGTCTCAGGGAAGAGGAGAGCACAGTAGGTTTTGAGAGGAGAGGAAGGAGCGGCCACGCTCCACCTGTGTGCTAAAACTGTTTCCAAGGAGCAGACAGAATTGCCTTTTCATTTGAATGGTTGCTGAAGTTCAGTGTACAATTCCTCAGTTCCAAAAATCTGGCTTTTTGGCTTGAGTCCAAAAATTATAGGAATTTTATAAACAGGTCCTTGTGGTCACTCGTTAGAGGAAGAAAGTTGCAGGAAGGAGCGGGGATCGGAAATATTTTCCTTCACACTCAGTCCCAGCAGAGCAGGAGCCTGAAACAAGGGAACCTTAGCACCCAAGCATTCTTCTTGAAGGAGTAGGCGGCTGTTACCTGCACAAAGGAGAGATGCCCAGATCAGAGAAAACAGACAGTGGGTCTGTGAAGACTCTCTGCCCCCAGCTTTCTGAGCATAGGTCAGGGTGGGATCTCTGTACCTTGCCCAGCCAACCCTCCATCAAACCAGCTCAAGGGCAGGCCAAGTTCAGCCAGGATAGCAAGCAGCCTGCCAATGGCTTTGGCTCTGGTCCTTAAACCTCAACCCCAGAGGTACTAGGGAGAGAAAGGGTATCACCTGTGCCCAGGGATGGAGCCATCCCAATTCAGGGAGCATAGCTGCTGTTCCAGTTGGGAGATGCGGAATGCCAGGTAGGATGAGGACAAGACCAAGAAGCAGATCCTGGAGAAAAAGAAGGTAAAAGGAGGTGAATCTCTCTTCTATAAAAAGGGCATTTTCAGAGGCTCACTGAGAATAGGTGTGGAAACTAAGCTACTGGCAATTGGAGGAATTAAAGAACCCTTTCCCTACAACCATGTTCAAGCCTGGGCATCTTGCTTCTCAGAGGCCACTTGAGGGTTCTGATATTCACTCGCCCTAAAAGACTCATCCTCAAAGCTTAGCAGCTAAAAGACTCATCCTCAAAGCAAAGCAGGAGTTCTGGGACCTTCTGCTGAGCCCACTGTCTCTCTGACCAGTCAACATAGCACGGCACCACCTCAGGGAGGCCACTGAGCTTGCCCCTTAAACCAGTAGGACCATTCTGCCAGCAAGGTCCAAGGCTGACAGGCAAAATCTTGCCAGCAGAACTAGAGGAAGTTGATGAGGGAGGGAAAGAGGAAAGGCAATAGCCTGACATCCTCACGGCTCTACTGGTCTCAAGGCAAATTTACAGACAAGTCTAGGGTTCTAGAAATTGCCTAAGGATAGGCAGTGGGAAAGTCATGGTCTTCCCTGATCAGTATTTCTCCCCAATTATCTGATGCTCCCATTGCATTTTGTGAGGCCTCCCCCTCCCCAGCCCCATACCACTTTTCTCAAGAGTTTCATGTCCTGCCCCTCATCATTTTAACCCAGATTAAAAACTGGAGACAAATATCTTGCTATCAATGGCCTGCCATGAGGTCTCCAGACACCCCCTGGAGACTGAATTGACTTAGAACCATCCCCTGTCTCTGGAAAGCATCCTCCCCATGACACCAAGGACCCTGCTCCAAACACCCAGACACCAGGATGGGTCTCCCCTCCACCCATACAGTCACCTACAGCACAAAGAAGACCTTGAGGAGCTGGTAATCCCAGAGCCTCAGGTCCCCATCTTTCTTGAGCTCTTCCTCCAGCTTCTCCTCCACACAGACAGCGTTCTCTGTGAAGGAGAGAAGTTAGTCATTTCCCTGAGGCAGGCGGGACCCCAGACTAGCACGGCCATGCCCACCTCCCCCATTCTTGGGAGCTCTTGGCTTTCCCTCATGGACTTGGAGAAAGAAGCAGCACTCGGCTTTGTAACATTCTCTTTAGCACAAATGGGAGGAGGGAAAGCCTGGTCTTTGTGGACAGTTGTGCTGGACAAGCCCCTGGAACTCACCAGTCCCTGCAGGCTTCCTGGAGGGGAAGAAGCTGTCTGTCGAGTCCATGGCTGAAGGAGGGAGACAATGGATGCTGTTTGGGAGGGACAAGGACCTGGAGGCAGGGCATACTTTTCTCCACTTCATCTCTGGGATCAAGGCTTCCTGCAGGGAAGGCAGGAGAAGCTGTCTCATCATGGCACTTGGGGTCTCTTGCCAAGGGCTTGAAACCTCTTGAAACCAAAGCCTTATTACCACTGTGGATGCCTACCAGGCATGGAAGCAGGTACCCAGGCAGGCAGGTAACATTGCCATTGCAACCGCATGTCTATCCTATCTGCTCCCTTGCTGAGACCAGTCACTCCTCCAGGAAACCATGTATTTGAAGACTGGTAGTGTGGAAATATGTGCCAGACCCAGGGATGGACAGGCAGGAGCCAACAGGAATGTGCTCAGAGATCAGCTGATACCAAAAAAGCTCAGGATAATGAATCTTAGATGAGATAAATCACTCTAACCCTAAGCACTACATTAACCTTAGCAGAGGCACCTAGAATCTATTTCAATAAAAATGGGAACATCACCTTCTGTCCGCTGCAAGGTATTGTGCACATGGCATGCTTGGCTAGATGCTTAACAGTTATGGAAGGACATGTCAAACACCCTGGAGTCATTTCCACCCCCCTTCTCTACTTTAGAAACCTCAGTTGTACCTACCCAGAAACAAAGGAAACTGTAGGGACCTCAGCAAATCTATGATGACTGCCTGGGTTTGAGGTGACAGCCTTCTAGTTCTTCCTCAGGGACATTCCTAGCACCTTGAAGCCCCCCTGACTTTACTGAGGGAAAGAAGGGATTGAGTCATTGGCTATGCCCACACAAGTGTGGAATGGAGCCCATGCCAGTTGATCTCAGGCTAGAAGCTTTTGCTCCAGCCTCAGCTCTCACCAGAGACTTGCACTCAGGTTCCACTCGAAATTCTCTTACACTCAGACTCTTCTTGCTGGAAGGCTGAGGAGGAGAAAGAACAGGGGTCACTTGTCCATCTGGAACTGCCAACGCCAAGCACTGGGGTGGTGAGCACACCCTCCAGGAGAGCTTTACCTCCAAATAAGCCACATTGGGTCAGAGGGACTCTAGCCCCTCAAGTTTGCAGGGGTTCAACGAGTTAGCATTGGAGCAGAGGCACAATGCAAAGCAATGTACTCCACATGCTGCTGCCCTTCTCCCTTCTTCTCTAGAGAACCACAGAGAGTTGTAGGCATATTGGGGAGCAGTCATGGGCCCTGTCTGTCTGAAAACTGGGGGAACACAGGTGCAAGCATAAACATGGGCACACAAGGGTCACTGGCCTCAAAGAGATGTGCATACAAGCACAGGCACACAGTCCAAGGATGGCCTGTGATACTGAACCCCAGCCTCTTACTCCCCAGGCCTGGTGCTGAAGAGCTGGCCTTGTCCCAAGACTTTACTCCAGATGAGAGCAGCCTCCCTGGCCCCTTGAGTGCCTGCCTTGAGTGCCATACCTGTAGGTGGGTGCAGACATTCCTTAGCATGTCATATACACTGTCCCGGGAGAGCAGTGACACAAAGACATACTGGGACATGGAAAGAAAACAGAGTCAGGCTGTGGACTTCTGGGACTGGTAAGGGGAGACTGACAAGGACACACTGACCCAGAGACTCACTGACCTTCTGGCTGGTATTGGTGGTGATGGCCAGGCCGTTGGGAAGAAGCCGTGCCACCTTGTGTTTTTTGACCATTTGTACAGATAACACAGGAATGACCACCTAGGGAGAAAAGGTGAGCTGCTCTCAGGACTCATCTTCGATGACATAGTTTTTACAGGGTCCCAGCCGCTGCTGGCAGTGAGCCAAGCTCAGGCACCACTGAGAAGGCTAGCCCCATGTGGGAGAACCTTCCACCTTCTCAGGCAGCTCCCCTTCTACTAATCCCCCCTCCCACCCCTATCTTGTCAGCACAGGCCCCACCAGACTTACACCCAGTTAACCAAGCCAAGGATGATTCCTCTGGCAAATTCTCTATTCTAGGAATGGAGTTTCCTGAGTCATCTCCTGGCTGCGCTAATGGCTTCCCCTAAATGTGACATCCCATTCAATTTCTAAAGACACTCTGGAAACACCCATAGGCAAAATGGTTTAATTTAACTGCGATCTGTTGTGGCCAGCTCAGGCCAAATGTGGGGTCTAGATGGAGGCCTGTACGGAAGGGCGGGGCTGCTCCCCTGCACACTGATGCTCACCTTGCAGCTGTTCATCCGACCAGTGAAAGGTTTCCACAAGGGCCAGCATGCAGAGGCACAAGCAATTCCACAAGGGTGGGGGTGGGTGGGCTCTGCCTTCCCTGAGCTAAGGACAGGGGCTCACTGGCAACCCTTACTCCATACCTTGATATCCTTGCCAAAAAGGCTGGCATGGAAGCAGAGCCAGTTCTTAGAGATATAGAGCCGACCCTGAAGAAGCAGATCCCTCTGGAGAGCGCAGGAGCACACTGGGAAGTCACAGGAGAGAAGACTGCCATGAGCAAGGTCAGGCAGCCCCAGGGCCCTGGTCCTCACACTTAGGCATCCAGAGTCCAGTTTCAAGGATTCTCCTCCTCAGAATCCCCTTCCCAATTCTGGGTCCCCATTGATCCCTTCTCCCCAAACCCTAAGAATTCTGACTGCCCCATCCCACCCCACCTAACTGCTCGGTGTTTCTTTCTTTGTACCCAGGCCCCAAGTATCTGGGCAGGCCTTGGCTCCTTTAACCTGGGTTCTCACTCCAGGCAGAATCCCTTGCCTTGCCTTGCCCTGCCTTGCCCTGCCCTGGAGAGGAGGCCTTGATTGTGTGAATGCTACCACAGGCTCAGTGACAGCAGGCCTGAGCAGGAAAGAATAGTCACTACTAAAAGCAGAACAAAAATAAGATTTGGAAGCCTTACTTCCTCAAGTAAAATTCCATAACTTCAATTTTAAATCCCCCACCAGTGCTGTGTTCTCACGCTTTTTTTTTTTTTTTTTTTAAGCGAAAAGGACCAACTGTTTTCAAAGGACAGAGAGTTCCCATATCTAACTGTTGCCTTAGAGGCTCTGGAGGAGAGGACTCAGGCCTCCTCCGGCACCGGCAGCACCTGTCCAGTCCACACCAGGGAGACAGCTCACCTTTCAAAACGGCCTCCTCCAAAGGGATGTCCTTAAACAGCCTGTGGTACTGCTGGTTTTGTTTACTCTGTGGAGTCTGCAAACACAAGCTGCAGTTGAGAAGCCCTGGGAGATGGACCACTGAAGCTTGCCCTGCTCCCGCCACCAGGAAATAATGCAGTGGGGCCCCTGGGGGCCTAGCAAAGAGCAAACATAAGCAAGCAGTGGGTGTGGGGGACCGAGCTCCCCACCCAGCTCATTTCCCTGGGACGCTGGGTCTGACTGGAGTGGGATTCGCCACTCCATAAGGCCCAGCAGGGGACACCCACTTCGGATTCCTGGTGACAGATCTGGTGGCTCAGGAGTCAACAGCCACTGAATTCAGGCAGCCCAGGGCCCTCCATCGGTGGGCAGTGAGAAGTCAGCTTCCACACACTTACCACTTCGCGGCTGCTCTTTGTCTCTTCACTCTTCAAGTCTTCTGACCAGGGCAGACTGCAAAGGAGACATTCCATTCCAGGGACAAGGAACCCTCGGGTCTTGCCCATGGAACCTCAGTGCCAATTCTGCCCTGGCTTCAAGTCAGAAGCTTGAATGGCAGGGCAGAATGGAGACTGGGGGATCCCAGCAAAGTGCTCATCAGCATAAGCACATAGCTTGTCCCTGGGGAAGGGGGAGCTTGAATGCAGGGAGTAATTGCTAAGTGCTGTCTTTTGGGACAGCTGTGAGTAGTAGTCCCCAAGAGCTCTGCTCAGCCTCACTGAGAAGTCCCAGAGATGGTTAGGAGCTGCCCACCGCTGTGTGTCCAGAGCCCTATCCCATTTCTCTGGCCAAGGGGTAGGCAGAGGAGCAGATCCAAGACTAAATGAACAGGAAGTACAGGACTGGGACCTGGTGGGGGGAGGGGAGGGTGTGGGATGGAGGTGTCAGACTCACGGCTTTGGGGCCAGGCCATGGGCCATGACCCCCAAAGGACTGCTTTCCTTTGCAGCCTCTTCCCTGTAGACTCACCTGATGTAACAGGGGTTATCAAGGCTAGGGGAGTGGGGAGGAGCTGAAATGCAAAGGGCTGCCCTGGCCAGGTTAGCCTGAGGACAGGTAGGCAGGGAAGAGGCTGGTAATCTGAGAAGCCTGGACTCTGCTAGGTCCCAGTGCCCTGGCACAGTCCTGCTAGTGGGCGGAAGGGGCCCTGAGCAGCCATGCCCAACTTAACAGACCCACTAGGGGATCCCGACTCAGCCTTAATGTCCCCTTTCTACCAGGTAGCCTCCTGAAGGCTCCCCACCCCCACAATCTGCATGAATTTCTGACTTGGGGGAGCCTCACCTTGAGTCCGGGGACTCTTGACCTCTATCTAGTTTCTCTGTGCAGGACACAGAACTCTTCAGAGAAGCCGTCTTTCCATGCATCTGTTGGTTGCTAAAAAGAAACAGGACCATGTCAGGAAGGGGGATGCCATGGAGACCCTTTTCCCTGCCAGCTTCACTGTGCTTGGAGCAGCCCCGACCCCATCAGACCTTGCACTGCTGAGCCACAGCTCAGGCATGGGGGCTCTAGGCCAGCTGACAAAGGAGAGTGTCACTTGCCCTCTTCCTGAAAGTCTGACCTTCAGTTTATACCTGGGTGGGAAGGAAATTGATTATCTTATTTAGAGCCCAGGCACCTGTTAGGCCTCCGGTCCCACCCTTGAGTTAGATTGGGAGGGAGGACTCAGTACTGTTTAAACGGAAAGCAAAAGTTTCTGAGGTGCCAGAACAGTTTTACTGTAAACGGTCAAGTTCTGAAGAGTCCCTGAATACAGAGGCCTTATCAAAGCCAAGGAGCTAATGCAGCTGATGCTGTGGGAGTGGACTCTGGGACAGGAAGGTCTGGTCTGCCTACACCAGGAAGTGGCCTTGGTGGCCTTCAGAGAGTCACTCTGTCCTAACTACCAAACCACCTCAAAAATGTCCTGAGAAAGGGCCCCAGAGCAAGGAGATAACCTCGCTCCCTCATGACTTCTGAACTCCCTCATGGGGCTCCCTCATGACTTTTGAGCTCATGTTTCCACTAAACAACTCCAAAGCATAAGGCACCCCCAGTCTGATCCCCTAGGGCAGACTGACTAAGCAGAAATCAAGAAAGTCTAAACAATCAAACGGTCTCCAACAGAGTGGCTGAGGGACTGACATGGAGAGAGGGTGGCTGGAAACAGGACCAAGGCAGGTCAGTGTGATGCCAGGAATTGGTGGCAAGGTCCTGTGCAGGAGATAAGTTCTCTCAGGTGATAGGGAGCTGGAACCAGAACCTGTAAACCCCAGCATTCAACCTCTCTCTGTTCTGCATGATCAAGGCAAGTCAAAGTTCTCTTTGAAAGGTCACCCAGACCCCTCACCCAGGCCTCACACCCAGGCCCCCAGAATGGCAAAAGGTATCAATGTCTAGCGATATCAAGGTGAGATGCTGCTGAGTTGGCTTCGGGATGTTGCCCCAGGTTGCCACTCCCTCCCTCAGATTGCTGCTCTGGTAAGGATCAAAGACCCTGAACAAAGGAGAGGGAGAGGCTGACCAAAAGAGCAGTATGACTCACTGGTACTTTTCTACTACCTCCCCAGGCCCGACAGAGTGGGACAGAGCAGGACATATAAAAGACCCCGAGGCCCTCCCTGGTGGCACAGCCGGTTAAAGCACAGCACTAAGAAGCTGAAACCACTTCTGCATGAGTTCGATTCCCACCTGCCCCGGAAGTGACCACATGGTGTTGCAGACCTCTCCTGGCCCGCCCGCTGCTCCCCTCAGCAGTGTACTTCGTCCATCTGCCTGTTCTGCTCCCCACTCTGTCTCTGGTGAAGTCTTTCGCCACCCCTGAGTCTCTGGCCTATACCCCAGTTCTGTATGCACAAATAAATAAATCTTTAAAAAAAAAAAAAAAAGACCCCGAGCTTGTACCCTGCCTGCTGGGGTGGGGGGGACAGGGACTCCCAAGGCCCCTGCTGGGGGCCTGCAGACCTCGCCTGCCCGGCAGCACAATAAAGCCTTCCTCTCTCTTCTGTCTCCTTGCCTTATTCTATCTGAGGGACCTTATACTCTTCTTCAAGAGCAAGTCACCAAATCAGCTGAGTACCAGAACGCTTGGAGATTACCCTCCCCTACCTCGCCATTAGGTAGAATAAGAAGCCAACACTGACCAAGAGACAGGCTGGACTCAGAGTCACACAGTGTAGAGCTGGGTGACTTCCCCCCAAAACTCAGGCCAATCACAGCCATGTGGCCTGGTGACCCTGCCTCAACCGAATGGAGAGTTTTGGTACACACTTCAACGTGGTACACACCTCAGCGTACATTTCCTGAATCTAACAAAGTGACATACTGTGCTAGTGATTTGAAATTTCTGAATTTGGTTTCATCATTTCACATTTCATAAAAAGTCTCCCCCATTGCTTGATTTTTTTAATGTTCACTATAGAAAATACAAGAATTATAAACTACGATGATCAGAATCATAAGGGAAAAAATAAAACTGCTCAAAGAAAATATTTATGCATAAATGCATAATTTAATATGAGTGGAATTTTATAGCATATAATTTGTATGTCCTACTTTCGTTGCTTAAGATGATCGCTGCCCTATTCCTGGGATAGATTCTCAGAAATGAAATTAGTGGATAGAAAATGAATATTTCTTAGCCTTTTTAGAGCCACCTCCAAAATGCTTTGCAGATGCTATAGCCATTAATGTGGTCATCAGCACTACTGGGGTGCTCTTTTCCCTACATTCAAACCTGACACATGGTATTAGCTTTTTTTCACCTTGCAAATTTGATAGGTGGAAAAAGTTACTATTCTCATTTCTATTTCTGCTTACAGGTAGGTCAAATAGTATTTTTTTCAAATATATATTAGTCATTAGAATTTCTTCTGTGGCAGGAAGGGTTGGGGAAGGGAGGAAGGACTGGAAAAGATGGGGTAATAGCACAGATGGTTTGGTGGAGGGTAAGTGGAACAGAAGAGCAAACTGTAACTCGCAAAATTAAGAGTTTAAAAAGTTTCATCTGTAAATTATCAATTGAGAGTTTATTTTTCTTACTGATTTGTATAATTTTTTACTAAGAATATTAATCCATACTTTATCATCACTATAAATATTTTCCCCCAGTTTGGTATTTGCCTTTTAGTTTTATTTGGTATTGTTGCTGCATTTGTGTTTAATTTTTGTGGACAGTGCTGGACCTGTCTTTGTCTCTCTGTTCCTGGTTTGAACTGTGTGCTCTGACAGGAGAGGCCTCCTTAGGGAAAGAGAAGCAGGCATAAGAAACCACTGAGCCCTGAGCCCAGGAGTCCACTAAACCACCAGGAAGAGACAAAATGGGCTCCACTTTAAGGAATATGCACTTCAGCCTGGAGCACTACAAGAAGGAAGTTGGCCTGTGACTCTCAGAACTGTAGTTCAGCAAAAATCACAGACACTGGGACCTCCCTGGTTAAAGTCTCAGCACTATCAAGCTACAGGCAGCCATTGCAGCAGTTCAATCCCAGACCAGAGCCCATCCCAGCCAGAGGACCGACCCACATGGCATGGCAGACTGCTCCTGACCGGCCCGCTGCCCACCTCAGCAGCGTATTTCAGTTGATCTGCCTGTTCTGCTTGCTTCCCGCTCTGTCTCTGGCGAATCCTCTCACCCCTCACACCTCTGGCCTACACCCGTTCTTGTGTGCATACATCAATAAAAATAAACCTTAAAAAAAAAAGTCACAGAAACTGTGCTTTACCAAATCATGCCAGATTTAATCTAATCTTGTGTGGAAAAATCATACCTTTGCATGGATTCTGAATCAAACTCATCCTAGCCTCTAGCTCCAACTGTGGCTTTCTCAGGGAGGGGTGCCAAGCCTAGACAAAGGGCCCCCATCCAACACAGCCTAAAGACTCCTGTCATACTGTCAGTGTGCTCCAACTCTCCATCTCCAGGGGCCCCAGCGTGTTTCTTCCATCCCTGACTCCCCTCCCCCACAGGAACCATGAGCAAGGCTAGCTTGCAGCAGACCCTTGAGACACACTGGAGGTCAAGGACAGAGGCTGGAGAGAGAGACAGACCGTGGGGACTGCAAAACTCTGGGTGCGTTTCCCACAGCATCTTCAGAGAAAATCCTGGCCATTGACGGGAGTCAAAAATGACTTTTGAGAAAAATACCAGATGGTTTCATTCATAGCAGGAGCATAAAGGACCAGAGGAAAAAAATAATAATGAACAACTATATTCCAAAGACATTTTACGGAGGTGGAGTGGGGAATGGGATCAAAAATGGGGGGGCAGAGTGCACAGGGCTATGGTGATGCCACACGGGTGATTTGGTGATGGGAAGCCCATGGGGGTTACAACTGAGATGGAAAAAGGCACAAAATAATGTAAAAATAAACTATTATAATAAATTTAAAAAATGACTTTTGAGCACCTTTCCACTAAGAGAAACCCCTGTAGGTGTGATGGCAAAGAGCCACACCTTCCCTTGACCTACTCAACCAGTCCCTCTGGCTGTCTTGACAATGCCGCTGATACTGGGCACCAGGGACCTGTGGTGGAAAAGCTTAGTTATCTCCAATACAGACTTGCTGCTAATTCATCTTCTCCCCATAGTGTTTGTTTAGATGAATGAAAATAAAGAAACACCAGACAGAAAGGTCCTAGTAGCAAGGTTGCTGAACACTCACCAGCAGAAAGTCAGACGGGAACACCCAAGGATCATCTGGGCCCTGACCTGAAGCCAGAAGGGAGCCGCAGAGCGGGGAACCAGCCTGCTCAACCTGCCTGCAGCCCCCTGGTAATCTCTGTTCATTTCCACATGGATTTTTTTTTCAGGAGTCAGCTGCTCATTATCTGTGCTATGGATGACACCCCCTATCTCCACATCCATATTACAGAGTTGGGATCAGGGTTTCCAAATCCATGCCTTTTTTTTTTTCCTTCAGCCAAACTCACAAAAAAATATCATTGTCAGGAGAACAGAGCAAGGGACCCAGTAGTTTGTGATATTAAGGGAGATTAAATAAAAACATTGGACAACTCCTCCAGCACGGCCCTTTCCTGCCTGGTCTGAAGCAGGAAGGCCAGTCCAGAGAACACAGACCCTGTGCCGCTGGCTAGTGCAGGATCGCGGTCACTGCCACACCTTCATTCGTTCCACAAATACTGAGCTTATCACACCATAACCTGGTATGGGCCTGCCCTGTCTGAGGGGTTGCTGAGAGGGCAGGATGGCACCAGAGATGTCAGAGCTGAGCTAGGGGAGACACAGAAGGCAGGAGAGAGGGAGAGGGACAGTGAGGAGGGACCCCAAGATGCAAGCTGCACTGCTTTTGCACACCTTGTGGACCAGACTCCAGGGGGTACCACACACAAGCTCTCATCTCTGGAAGCCTCCCCCAGGCTTCACTTCCATATC